ACAGGTAACAATATCTCATTTCAGCTCTCTATTGCTTCTCCAGGAGTTAAAGTTCTTTTTGCATCTGTACATGGCCAGGCACATAATCACATTCTTCAAATGTTGAGCGTGTTGTCATGTGCCACCATCCACATTATAGGCCCTCTAGGGTAGTTCAGTCTTAACATGTATTCATGCAAATACATAAATGTCAGCAGACAAGTATTATTATTATGCATACCAATCATTCAAAGGGAAAAAAGATCTATTTGGTCTACATTATTTTGAATAAAAAACCTTTAATTCCAAAGGTTTCTAGAAGGAATGAAAGTCTTTGTAGATTTCACAATTCTTATTTCCCAGAAAAATATTTGGTAAGTGAAAATATAGAGGTAACCACAGCCCAAAGGCCTAGAATTCCAAAAACACTGGGCTCCAGCAGATGAAGAAAGAAAGAACAAACAACCTTTTCTTTCTTTTCCCTCAACCTTTCTCATGAGGTCACAGTTTCTAAGTGATAAGCCAAATAATTTTAGTTAGTAACGGATAAGAAAGCAAATTAAATTTCATTTTTTTTTTTTTAATGAACCCTACTTGGTCGTGGTGAATTATCTTATGGATACATTGTTGGATTCTGATAGCTAAAATTTTATTGAGGATTTTTGCATCAGTGTTCATTTGGTTTTAAAAATGTATGCCAATATGCTTATGAGCTAGTCTAAATTCATTTTAAGAAAGGTAACAGTATACATATTTCTTTTACTACTTCATGTTTCCTCAATAAGGAGTCCTTTACAAAAATAAAAACCACTGGAAAAAATGAAAAATAATTGTCCACCTTAAATGGGGGAGGTGCTTAGATATTTTAAAAAGTACTTTAGTAAGATGAAAATGAAAATCAAATATTCTTTAAGCAACTCTATTTAATCATTTTTCCTATCATGAATCATGTCAAATACCAGGGACACAATTTTTAAAAATTCTATAAATTACAAATTATCATGGTGACACAATCTCTCCATTAAAATTTAATATAGTATATACAGATGTTGATTCATAATGATGCACACCTTAAACTTATGAAATGTTATAATGCAATGTTATTTCCATTAAAACAAAAACTTGATGACAAAATGAGCACTTGCTAAAAAGTTCCCATAAGTGCTGACAAACCAACCAAAAGTCAAATTAAAAGAACATCTTTTTCCCCTTAATCCCTCATGCCTACAATGTTGTATACCACTTAGCTTAGTCCTGTTTACTGAAGGGAAAAATATTTAAAGCTTTATTAGGAAATAATCAACACACACTTTGTGAGCATGGCCACATGAAAGCCTGACCTTAAAGCATCTTCTCTGATGCAAAACAATCTTAAAATATTTACAATAATTATATTGCTGGTTGTGCTGTAATTCTTATTCTAAGACTGTTGTGTATATGTTGTGGTATAATAGAAGATGAATAATTACACTGGTGTCTCTAGAATCTGTTATTGTCAGCATGACAGAAAGAAGAAACATGGAAGATAGATGAGGGAAAATAAAAACCCGGAAGCCCTGAATTTGAATTGGAAGTTTCAGTTTGAATTCATAATGATTTTATCTTTAAACAATATATCCAGCATATACTGTTTATATCCAATGAAAAGGTTGAAACACAAAGATCGGTTTAGTAGCAGTAAGTACCTATAAGCCCAAGATCATATCTCTTAAATGCCCAAAGAACCAAAGCTCATTAGAGAAATGTGTGAATCCAGGTTTGTATCAAGACATGTACAAGAAGAACCTAAAACAAGCAAAGAAACTATCCAAGTAAACTAATGACACATTCCCATAGCCTAAAATAGGACCATTTGAGCATAAGGATATAATGTTAACGAAATGAAATATTTCAAATATGTTTATATTTGTAAGTCAATACGTAAATATTAATGATAATAAACTTAATTTTGAAGGATACTAAGGAACTAATGCCTTCAAATTGATGATGAAAAAGGGATAGTACTATGTTCTATTTCATTGTAACCACAGCATTTAGGAGGGCAAGTTGCTCTTTTAAAGTGTATCAGGTAACAAATGAAAAGGAAATGATGAAATATCATCACTTTGGAACCTCTAGTGAATTATTGGATCTAGATAAGCATTAATAACTGTTAACACAAAGGTAAGAAAACTAGACAGTGTTATTCCTGATAGAAGTACCACCTAAAGGTCTTGGCAAAAAATAATTGAAAACTGTATTCAACAAAGCCTCAACATAGAAATAACAATGTAAAAGAAATATCAGGGAGGTGCAAAACCAAGATTGCAGAAAATTATAGGAAAAAGAGCTAGGTTTTTACAGTAATAGGGGAGAAGCTATTGGTTAACAAAAATATTTTTTAAAAAATACACCAATCGGTTGCAATGCATATATATTATGCTAATCCTGATTGGAATGATGTATGCACTCTGCTAATTCAGATTCAAATTAACATTAATAATAATAATGAATTCATTGGAGAAATCTGAAAATGGACTAGATATGTTATTAAGGAAGTACCACTGATTTTTATGTAGAACAATGACATTGTGTTTATTTTTAAGAATCTGTATCTGTTAGAGATATATGATGAACTATTTATGAAGGAAATAATAGGATTTCTGGGATTTGCTTCAAAACTATCCTTGGGAAAGGGGTTAAGCACTGCACTATGAAGCAATCCGCAGCCTCTGCAGCATGAGTTCGATCCACAGCCTCTGCAATATGAGTTCGATCCCTGGCCAGCCAGAGAGAAACCCACATGGTGAAGCAGACCTCTCCTGGTTTGCCCTCAGCTCCCCTCAGCAGTGCATTTCGGTCTGTCTGCCTGTTCTGCACCCCACTTTGTCTCTGGTGAATCCTCTCACCACCCCTGCATCTCTGGCCTGTACCCCAGCTCTTGTATGCATAAATAAATAAATCTTAAAAAAAAATAATCCTTGGGGAGGGAGAAAGTATATGAAGTACAGGTGAAACAAGATTGGCCAGGATTTCATAATTATTCAAACTGAGCAGACAGTATACAGAGGTTCATTACACCATTAGCCTCTCCACTTTATAACTTTGGTATTTTCCTTCATAAAAAGTTAAATATTTTTGTTTGAAATTTGACAACTAATTTCAGGTTCATGGACAGTTAAAGTTAAGTTATAGATTTAAATCATAATGGAGATAGCAGCCTTTAAGGTTATTTTGGTCAACCTTTTGCCAACCAAATAGATTTTACCAAAACCATCTGTTCTGTTCATTTATAAAACATTAATAGTTGTTTTCTTTGGTCTGGTTGTGGTACTTGGAGAAACAATCCGGTTGCAGTATTCAGTGAAACAATCAGACAGGAATAGATTAAGTGAAGAAAACAGCAAGAAAGCTTCAGAAAATCATTTTGACTATTTTTCCTACTTTTATTTTGGTAAATCTACCAATTGTATCACACCTGCAAGTTAATTTTACCAAGTGAGCTTTTTCCCTACTATACGAACAGCTTTCATCATCACAACCAGTATGAAAATTAATCTCCCAAAGCTATTCTTTCCCAGTTCTTACTGAGCAATCCACACATCTGTGACAGCGCTTCTCACTAAAACTCACAGCACAAGCAACATAATATAAACTCACAGGAATACAGACATGCTAAGCTCTTCTCTGATACCTCCAAATGGGCTTATAGTTATGACTGGGCCAAATCCCGAGGGCTAAATACGACTAATGAATATCCAAAAATATTCTAATTAATTTCATTGCTCTGGGTTAGTGAGAGACCAGAAGTTTCCAAAGCCCTCTGAGAATTGTCATATTTATATAGAATGGTGCTGCATGTGAGACTACTTCTTTGAAGCACAACCTAACCCTTTTATCTCTACTACCTGTCTCTTTGGACAGCTTATGCTACTCTGACTCAAATCTAACCACTGGGGTTCTTCTTGCTAACAAATTCTATCAGCATTCAAATTCTATCTGTAGATCAAAAACCTCCCCAAAAGTATATACACTAATGTAGTTAAAAGTTTAGATTTGATAATATTGCATAGTAAAACATGTATTTTGACAAAATCAAAATGTTAATATTGAAATTATAACCAAAGTTTACTTTATCTGTAGTATCACACAAATAAGAAAATAGATTATAAATCATTAGCATTTTTATATCTTCCCTCAGTATTTCTTTACTAGAACTAGATATATGATCTGAGATTAACTTATATATAATTCCTCTTCTTTCCCACATGCTCGTTACTTTTTTAAAGAGGAAGAAAAATGGTGGGCATTAGTGTTACTCAGGGAATAAAGGAGAAAGGAGGGAGCAGAAAGGAAGCAGGAAAAGAAGGGAGAAGAATGAGGTGAGCAGGCCTCAGGCAAAGGAAGTAAGAAAGGTGGTTTACAGAATTGCAGGCAAAGAGTTCGATGTAACAAAAATATAAATTGGTTTTTGATAATTGATGATTTTTATAACCCACTTCTGTCAAGAATACACTGTTTATGATTTTAACTAGCACATCATTTCAATCTGAGATTATGCATAATGTGTTAGATATTAAGTTATGGCCTTCACCTTCATAGGGCCAATTTACACGCAAAAAACTATGCAACCTTATTAGCCTGTTCTGTTTGTGGTCTCAGGCAGATTTTTGCCAGACTTCCAAAGAAGTTTATGTCCCAAAGTTTCTTAACATTTCTGTCTTGAAAGAGAAATGTGTAGATTTTCTCTTTCAATGAAAATCCATTTTAATCAAGAGCAAATTAAGCTAAATAAGAACAAATCTATAGATAGTGTGGGGAAGCACCAGTGTTATTTGGAGCCTCAAGCCAATCAAAAAGGAGAGAATAGAGGCCATACAAGTGGATTAAAGGGGGTCTGGCTGCTGGGTCCTCCAGTAATCACAATACTCAGAAACATCACAATCAGCTTGAAAAATAATTCTGTTCATTTGATAGCAGGTGAAAAGACTAAAAAAAGATTTAGCATAAAAGACAATAAGGTTGTTTCACAGAGGACTCACCTGTCTTTCCCAGTTTCTTTCTTAAAAACTCCATCACAGTAACTCATGCGCTTCTCTGTGGTCACATAGATGTTGGCATTCGGGTAGATGTCAACAGTCTTTTTCAGCATGTTGTAAACGATGCCCTTGCCATCTTTCCTCATATTGCGGAAAGGGCCCCAAATAACATAAATAGTAGTGTTTGCCTCCTTGAAAAAATAGTCAGGGTTTTTTAACAAAAGAGGTACGCTGGTATGGGACACAACTCGAATCATTGTCGTGTGGCCAACATCTTCTTCATAGCCCTTGGTGGGGGCATTGTTCATTCTCCAAATGCAGGAGGATTGATCTATCTCATTCCCCACCTTCTGGCCAATCATCTGACCTGAGTTTGACACTATGGCACAAAGGTCACAGTCCAGTTGCAAAGGCTGAAAAACAGAAGGAGAAACAAGGCAGGAGGAGAAACACATAAATTAGTAAGTTCCACCCATCCAAACAAGTTCCCCTAGGAAAACAGTACATTCAGATATGATTCATGCAGAGTGAGAATATCTTTGAAATACATATAACAATTCTATAGCAGCTGTCATAGCTTATCAAGCCAGAGGGAGGTTTTCATTAAAAATGTGAATATAGATTGTTAAGAAATAATTTTAATTTCTATCCCCTTGTTTTGTTTTATAATTAAACAGAAGTCAGGCTTCCCCTGGTGGTGCAGGTGGTTAAGTACCGCGTTGTGAAGCTGTCCACAGCCTCTGCAGTGCTGGTTCGATCCCGGCCAGCAAGGGTCCCACATGGCGCGGCAGACCTCTCCTGTCTCTCCCGCTGCTCCCCTCAGTAGTGTATTTCAACAGTCTGCCTGTTCTGTTCCTGCTCTGTCTCTGGTAAATCCTCTCTCCCTCCCACACATCTGGCCTGTAGCCCGGTTCTTGTGTAAATAAATAAATAAATCTTAAAAAAAAAAAAAGTCACTTCTTTTCCACTTTAAATGATGACTTTTCATTCAAAACCATAACTTCAAATGAAATAGGAATATTTGATCTCCTTCATAAAGGCAATTGCTTAAAAAATGTAAATGGAAGATATCTCGTCACCAACTCTGTATTTTTATTTATATATATGAATTGCTATGTAGCAGTTGATCAGAAAAATGAAAAATTCAACAAATGACAAGATTGAGAAATACTTAAGTCTCAGACTTTCAAAAATAAGATACATTTAAAAATTATCCTATGCCATCAAGTTAACTGTATGTTTGTTCTAGATGGATAAGGAAAAGCCTCCTTTAAAAACTCAGGGAAGGCATATACAGTGAGTCTTTAGAGCTAATCTAACTACCACCTTCCTTTAAAAAAAACCCAAAAAACTAATGAAGTCACAAGTCACAAGGGTTAAACAACAGATTTCAGGACTTGCAGGTGATAGATTCAAGTTACAGTGGTAGATTCAAATTTAGATCTAAACCTACTACTTTTTCCATTATTCCTTACAATCTTTCCTTCCAAGCAAATCCAATAAATTCCTTTTGTCTCTTACCTGCCAAATGAAAGGAGTCACCCTATCTTTTAAAACAGTGACCAGGGAGTAATGGGCATTGCTGATTCACATCTTTCTTACCTCCCTTCTGTGCAGTTCCATATTATATAACCAGATATTTGATCCTGGATTTGTAGTGTGCTTATTGGTCACTGGCCCTTCTCATAATGGGCCTCTCCTAATTTTCCTCATTATATGGTACCTTAATTTATTGTTTAATTATGTCTGTCTGGGCCTCCCCGGTGGTGCAGCGGTTGAGCGCTGGGTTGCGAAGCTGCCCGCGGCCTCTGCGGCGCCGGTTCGATCCCCGGCTGCTCCCCGGCCACCAGAGGAGGGTCCCACATGGCGCGCAGACCTCTCCTGCCGCCCGCTGCTCCCCTCAGCAGTGTACTTCGGTCCTTCTGCCTGCTCTGCTCCCCACTCTGGCTCTGGTGAATTCTCTCACCCTCCCGCGCTTCTGACTGTACCCAGTGCATGTATAAACAAAAAACAAACAAATATAATAAATAAATAAATAAATAAAAAAAATTATGTCTGTCTGCTAGATAGTAAATTATGTAAGAGCAGAGTCAATGTCTGTCTTCTTCATTTTAACTCCACTCTCCAAAAGTCCCTGGAATACTAAAGGAGCGCAATATAAGATTGAGAAAATGGAAAAAAAATATTAAGAGTCTAACAGGGAACTTACCATTAGGGAAGAAATAGATGTTTCAACTTATCTAGAAATGTTGATGTAGACAAAAGTAGAAAAGCAATCCAGAAGAAACACAGTAACAAAGCAACAGGTTGTTATTCAAGGTTGGTAAATTGAGAGAGGAAAGTGTGTCAGAAAAGAGACCTGGATAATTATCACACATCAGTAATACATCATCTCTCCTATCAGTGGTGGGTTCCCAAAGTAGTTACTGAGCAATTACTGCTAGTGCCAGATACTACTATAGGGGGTGGGGATTCTGCTGTGCAATTTTAAAGCAAAAGTCCCTGCCTTAATAATATTTACATTGATCTGGGGGAGAAAGGCAATAAAAATCAGCATGGTATATAATGTTAGATGAAAATAAGTGCTAAATAGAGAAAACTAAAGCAAGGAAGGGAGTTGTAGAGAGGGGTGTGTGTGTGTATGTGTGTGTGTGTGTGTGTGTGTGTGTGTTGGTGGAGGGTGTTGGGGGGAAATGGTATTTGAGGAAAGACTGCAGTGAAGTAAGAGGGCTGGCCATACGAATGTTGAAAATAAGTAAATAGCAGAGCATTCTTGAAAATCAAAAATGAATGTTACTTTCCTAAAAAATGCCCCAAGGAAGGGGCTAAACAATGGGAGAGATGTGTGATTTGACAAAATCATTGAGGAAAGAAAGCAGTAGTGGGGCTACTGAGGTGACTCGAAGGCATGACTTGAGGTCTTAGCCACTGGGGGGCTCTAAACAGTAAATGATCTGAGTTATATTTTAACAGCTTTGGCTGCTGTGTGGAAAAGTGGCAAAAAGAAGGGAAGGGAAAAATGATAAAAAGAAGGCAAGGGCAGACACTGGGAAAGCAGGCTACTGTCACAATTCTAGCAAGAGGGTGGTGGCTTGGACTGGTTGGGTTGCAGAGATAGCAAAATGCTGGTCACATGCTGGATATATTCTAAAAGGAAAGCCTCCTGACTGGCCAGTAGATGAGATATGGGTGTGAAAGAAAGACAGTATTCAATGAAATTTTTAAATATTTAGCCCAAGCAACAGAGACTGGAGCTGCCATTAACTGAGAATTTCATGTCTTCAGGAGGAGCAGAAGAGGAAACTGAGTTTATTTCTAGATCTGTTGGATTTAAGATGTCCTGAACACAGATTCTGTAGCAAATATTCTAACAAATCTACCCAAACTGCTTCACAAAATACTCCCTTCACTCCAAGTATTAAAGTAATATGGGATTACTATGGAAAACTTGAAAAATAAGAATAGATAAAAGAATAAAAACTCTACCACTCAACAATGACTAAAGCATTTTCTTCCTTCTAGATAGATATATTACTTTGAGAAATACCATTAACATAACTTAGCAAGCTTGTTTTTTTATTTAATTTCATATCATTAGCTTTCAACAGTCCTTCAAGTTATTTTTAATGCCTGCCCAATAATTCATTATATGGAATTATTATAAGTACCTATTTGCTTACCACTGGCCATTGATTAAGTTATTATCTGAATTTTGTTCTATTATAAAAAGTTGCTATGATGAACATCCTTGTGCTATCCATTATATTTTGAATGCTAGCAGTTATTATAATTTACTTTAAATCTTTGATTCATTTTTTTATTTAAATTTTGTGAAGATGTACTAAACAGAGGGCCTCCCTGGTAGCACAAGGGATTAAGCCTCAGTACTATGAAGCTATCCACAGCCACTGAAGCAGGAGTTCAATCACCTCACCGGTCAGGGGGCTGACCCACATGGCACAGCAGACCTCTCCTGTCTCGCCTGCTGCTCCCCATGTATTTCAGTCAATCCACCTGTCCTGTTCCCCACTCTGTCTCTGGTAAATCCTCTCACCATCCCCCCACCTCCAGCCTGCATCCCAGCTCTTATATGCATAAATAAATAAATCTTTAGAAAAAGGATATGCTAAGCAGAGAAAGGCATCTATTGACTTGATATGTCAAAATTAAGTTTTAGAAAAAATCTTGACTTGCAGAGTCCACAGATGTCCACTTATAAAGTGTCTTAAAACTCTACTACCAAAGACCCTGTCCATCACACCTGCTAAAGTAAGATTTCTAAGCTATAGTGAGCGGCAAATAGCCTGGGCACCAGGTTAGGATAGGTCTGCTCAAGATGGCTGAGTCTCTTCGGGCACTTAGAAATGGGGTTCCATAGGTTGGTGCCATGTTGAAAACTCTTCAAAGGTCACATGGAAATATAAGGGATGCGTCTTGGAATCAGGCACTGACCTAAGACCTTTCCTTACTCATTCAAGAACTACAATCTTTTCAGGCAATAAGGAAAACACTGCTGGGTGATTTTGAAACAGGGTCTGATGTCCATTACATTTTGCTGAGTCCTCTAAACTCATTTATCTAAACCACTGCAAATCAACACCTGATTTAAAATGTATGTGTCATATGGCACACTCCAACTTACCACTGAGCTGCATATGCTGCAGGGAGGTTACATTCCATTTACTATTCCAAGAAATTGTTTTACTGCATAATAAAAACATTTATGGTGTATGGCCTACACTAATTTAAAAAAAGAAAAAAAGAAAGATATAAAGAAAAAGTCTCAGATGTGCTCTAATCTACAAAATGCAGCAATTTGCATTGGATTTCCTAGTCATTAGAGTGAATTAGCTAGTTCTACTATAACAAGGCTTAATTTAACTAATAAGAATCAGCATACTGGTTTCACTTGACAATTGTAACCTCTGAAAGTGATCAATTAAGACATCACAATCTGTTTCATGACAACATATCGGGATGCTGCAGCTGTGCAGATTATGAGGTCAGCAGCTGACTAACAATTTGAGGGCAAACACTGCAAACAACAGCCTCTTGTTTATGTGACAAATATGTAACTGGGCAGAGTGCTAGAATGCAATGGCTTAGGGGGTAGTGGTGATCTTTAAATGGCCCCTTCCTTTTTCACTATTCACTTAGCCATATTGTATTATGACCAGAGTCTTAAGAGACTTATACTTGTCTACACTACTCGTTCACAATGCTGCTTAGCTATCTGACTCCCTGAAAGAGGTACTAGGGGACCTGGCTGCACATGGTGACTGTTCTATTTACCACTTTGTTGCAGGAATCATCTTCAAAGTATGACAGGAGCACAGGGCTAGATGAAACATTTCTAATCGTTATCAGAAGCTTCATGTTCATGAAGAGCTTGCTGAGGCCCAAGGGATTCATT